CCCGTTTTGATTCTCAGCGACAGAAGCAAGAAGGAGCCCGACCGTTCTCGTTCCCCGGGGCGTTCCTGAAGGCCTCGTAGAATTTGGGAGGTAGAGAACCATCAGCAGCTTGTCTGGTTCAGCCTCCGCAGCCATCTCCTTTCCTCTCATCACCGGCTGGATGCCAAACTGTCGCTCAGCCACGTCAAAGGCCAACTGGTTGTTCCCCGCCACGTCCTCCTCGTTCAGAGAGTCATAGTCACTGAGGGAGAACAAAAGTGAGGGGAGGTCAGCGTATATTGTTTCTTAAAACATCTTCCATATTCCAAACGATGGCAGAAGAGAAAGCTGGTGAGGTAAGATCACAGGAGCAAAGAGGACACTGCTTTAGCTTATTTTTATGCTAGTTGTTTCTGTCTATCATTCAGTAAGTGAAGGAGAAGAGTTAAAGATGAAGGAATACCATGCTGAAGTAAAGAATTATTTCCTACCTAGCCATCTGTACACACAGCACTCAACACAACAGGAAAGACAACGTTAATGTTACCTCATCTTTAGAGAGCTTAACAGAGGAGTTTTAGCTCATTGTTTAGCTGTCTGGCTGCAACTTTACTGTTTTGGTTTCCTCTCACAGTTTCATTTTCAGCTGTAGCAGCCCACTGTACGCTACCTTCTCAGTACCAAATGGCAGACCAACCACGTTAGCAACTAGCTACTGCGACTGCTTTGTTTGGCAGGTAAACGTTGGGACCATGGAGAGAAAACAAAAACAAAACACCAACCGTGCAAACATCATCTCTATACGAGCACAAATCAGACAGTATGTGTGGAATCACAGCTACCTGCTATGACAAGGGTTAAGATGACGTGTACAAAATGATGTCATTCCAACCGACCACTCTGACACTTATTATTTGCTTTCTCAGTTGTGTGCGAGCAGACTGGATCAAGTCGGTGTGGCCTGTATGACAGACTGTTTTGAATTAGATTAATCAGCGTTTGAGTTCACGCCAACCCCTGGATTTTCATTTCATTTGTCAAATAACACGTGACAGAGGACAAGAGTCAAAACAGGAACAGGTCTTCAAATTTACAGAGGATTGCAATGCCTATTAGCAGTCAGCTGATTCAACGGTAGACTCACTCTTTCATGTAGATTTGCTTTTGATACTGTTGATCACAATATTTTGTTAAGTAAGCTGCTTTCTGTGGGTTTTGATGATTTTGCTTACAGCGTGTGCAAGTCATACATCTCTGCAAGAGTTCAAACTGTTGCACCGATGGTTTCAAATCAAGTCCCCAAATTGTTGATAAAGGTTTCCCTCAAGGATCAATATTAAGCCCACTTCTATTTAGATATGAAATAGATAATAAACGGAAAATAAATATTATTTAGTCTGTAAATAAATAGTATTCATTTTCCATCTCAGTATTGTAATGCCCATTTTAATGCTGATGATCCCATCTTGTATGCCGTGGGCCCCACCGCAAACCAGGCCTTCATTAGATTACAGTCCGCTTACGATGAGCTCTAGACCTCCCTGCTAAATTTAAAGCTTGTTTTAAACTCCAAAAAGATAAATGTGTGCGTTTCACAAGAGCGTGAACCATTGATTTTCCCAGTCCGATCCACGCACTAAATTAATCAAATGGATACAGTACAGCATTATAAGTACTTAAAATATGATTACACAGCAGCTTATCCTGTAAAACTCATGTGGAACATCTTGCTTTGAATTAAAAAAATAAATTGGATTCTTATACCAAAACAGAGTTTGTTCCTCCTTTGAAAAGAGACAAAAACACTATACAACTGGATTATATAGATATCCTGTGTGCTCATGCTGCTGGTACTGAACCTCAACCACTGGATAAAGTCTGCCACAGTGCTATTCTATTCATTGTACATGGCAGACTGTGAGCTATATGAAAACGCTGGGTGGTAATCTAGAAGGCATCAGCATTTTAATTGCTGGTTTGTTGTGTCGTGAACTTGTGTATATACAATGTGTTCAGTAGAAATAGAGCTCAACTACCTACCTAAGTAGGTAATATAATTAAAACTAATTAAACTAATATATAAACTAATTAATAATAATATACTAATTCAGCAGAAAGATTAATGTCATCCAGTTCAGTTCAAAGCGCCAGTCTGGATAAGTGACTGCTCACAAGCCAACAGAAAACAGCTCTGGTCTGAATGACTGTCAACATTTCCACATGTTTCCAGAATGGATTGTGTGAGCTTTGTGTGTGTTCTTACATGAGCTCAGGCCTCTGGCGGTGAATGAGAGCGCAGAGGGCCAGGCCGTTCCTCCAGGAAGATGTGAGGTTGGTGACATCAACCCCCCTGTAGCCCTGAGTCTGCTTCTGACACCAGGTCAGCAGCCGGCCAGGACGCACATCAGACTCTGCAGAAGAGAAATAAAACTTCACCAATAGTGTCACAAATGTCCTGTAAAGCTGGTGTACAGGGAATTTGCTTGTTGACAAACACAACTGACACATGGCACATTAAAACTCTCCATTTGAACACCAGTGACTTGCTGGTTCACTTGAGCCTTATGACTTGACAGACTTGAATCTCCTCCCAAGCCTAAAGCAGAGCAACTTTGGCAGCAAATACACAGACAGAGCAGACATTCAGGCCAGTGCACAAACTGGCCTACTTAGAAGACATGCAGCACTCCCTTTGATGCGCTTTAAAATGCATAACTAATTTCTTGGCAAGATTTCTGTTATATTTCAGGGTTGATGTGAAAAGCGTAAGGAATGGGGGTAAGAGGTAGGGTTACTGAAATCTTGCATGGATAGCTTAGACTAAATATTACAAACACCTCTCAGTATACTGCAGTACATGTCAACAGCACCACAAACTGCATTTGAATTGACGCCTATCTAATACTATAGATAGGTCAGTCAATCAGAACAACAACTTGTTCAAGTGCCCCCCCAAAAAAACTTTCAATGCTGCTGTGACTTGCGACTAAATGCTGACTTGTTCTGCTCAGGGAGAAACCGCCTTCATAGAGAAGACAACCGTATCAGCCCTATACTGTTTATCAGTCTAACCCCGCTGATGCAGAGCGTCTGTGAGAGGCATCATGTTTGACCCTCACGTGGGTGTAATGTTATCCAGCTGTATTGTCTGTGACAAGGTGTGTCAGCCTGAGATAAGGCTAAAGTTTCCTCTCAGTAGGGGCTGGGGAAGCATTCATGATGTCAACATTATTTCTCCAGTAATCTGGATGCATTTAATCTCAGCGGTGACTCATAGGATGATCAGATTACAATTACGACATGCAGGGAGCTTTGTTAGTCCCATATGAGTAGTTGGCAGCAATCCCGTCACAACACTCTCTAAAAAGGTATTTGATGTGTCTACAGTCTGTTTTTTATCATAGCAACATGAAGGCTCTATATACACTGTATTTTTTTAAAATATTTTCATGCACGACGGCACAGAATGTGTCAGTTAGTAATCAGGACTAAATTGTGAGTTTGTGTTTGGGACTTTCTGCATCACACCTCTTCTGGACAAGTTCGCTGATCTACTTGTGGGTCCTCCTCTTTCCAGGTGACCCGAGTCCTGTTGGCCATCAATGAACAGGTGACGCACCTAGAAAGAAAGAATTAAATAATATGATTTAAAACTGGATCAGATAACATTTAACACCGTTACAGGGACACTAAGTCATTGCAAGGGCAAACAGTAGGATTTAAAGGATTGGCAGCTGACACAAATCTCCTGGGAGCCAGAACGCATAACCGAAGGTGACAAAATAACAGCTTGAAAAGAGCAATCGTGGCCATATCAAAGTAGCTAGTGTAGCATTAGCTGCTAAAGGCTGCTAGTTAGCAGAGCTAAAGGAATATACTCATTGTTGATTACTCTAAAATGTACAAGCAGTCATTGTTAAGTTTATGTGCAGGGGTACTTGCAGTGTGTTTGTTTGCATGTTTGGCATAAGCATTGACACTTTCCCCAGTCCAAAGATTTCTAACACAAATGCAGGCTAGAAATATTAGCTATTCATAGCTACAATTGCTCTATTGCTGTATCTATCTCACGATGCAGCATTTTTAGCAGAAAGAGATGAAAATTCTGAGCTGGCAGCATGAGATTGAGAATTTGAGAAATATTTGCCTCTTTGAAAACATAATATCCCGGATTCAACATGCACAGTAGTAAAACGGTTATTTATCACTCAAATGAGATTTTAAATCAAATATCACTGTCATTTACAGCAGAAAACCCTTGATTAAAATGTCTCTTAATTCCTTTTCTTTCTTTGATATCTGGTTTCATTCAAATGCATACTGTAACCACTAAGGGCATCTGTGCTTTTCTTCTTATGTAACTGTTGGACTGACCTGGTGTGGGCGTACACAGCTGGAGTTGAGGTTGGGGTAGCGGGTGGCAGGGTCAATGGCGTACTGTTCAAAGTTTTACTGATGTTTTCTGTGGTGGTTTGAGGGAGCAGCCGGTAGATACTCTCCCTGAGGAACAACAGGGTATAGATATAACTGGCAGATTCAAGATACTGCAGCTTCAAAGATCTGAGAACTACACTGCTACCACTTGATCTGTCTAAGGACAGCAAACACTGAGGCAGGCTGAAAGCACAAAACAAAGTCCTTAAACATTAAATCTACATCACTTAAAGTGCATTTACACTAGACATGTCCAGACTGTTTTTTTTAAACTCATGACTACTGCTATTTTAATTTCTTTACAAGGCTATTCGTATTCATGGGACATGAAACACCCACAGAGAAACCATAGGGTCTCCTTGAAAAGCTGGTATAGTTCATTAGAAGTAGGATCATAAACGAGGATACCAACCTGTAAGCACAGTACAATACGTATAAATGGTTGAAAGCTCCAACTGCAAAGCTTTAGCTACTTTATTGGTAGTTTTAGTGTTAGTTGGTAGTTTTAGTCACAAGGGCATATCCCCTGCAAGATATCCTGCGTGGAAAGTTTACATTTTAGCCTGAGATTGGTGCAAGGAAAATAGAAAGGATCCACCCTCTCATGAATGTGGTGGTTAATGGTAATACAAGTGCAATGTCTGGCCTGACAGTGGAACCACTACAAACATAAGCATTCATCTTCTGAGGAGCAAGAACTACAATGATGAAAATTCACAGCATGTTGGTCATTATATTTGATTTCTTCTGAACGACATGAGTCGACAATTAGCGGTGATGAACGAGATAGAGGAAACTGTCCATATGGTTCATCCTTTGTGGAGCATGAATCTGCTCAGCAAATATCATGGTTATCTGCCTACTTGATAATTAGATAACTATATTTATTGTGTATATTTATTAAGTTAGAATTTTGACATGAAAGTGGAACAAGAATGAATGATCATCCTCTGGGAAACACATACAATAAGCCAATATTTGTGAAGTTATCTTGCTCTGGACAAACCGACTAACTGTCTGGACTGATGCTCTTTTTCCATCTGTATGAAATCCAGAGAAAATAAATTCAAGACTACAGACAAGTCTATCTTGTTTAGCTAAAGTTACAGGAAGTGGAACACAAACCCACCTCTCAGCCAGGATCTCCAGAGGGCTCCTGCCCTGTGTCCAGCCCCTCACCATCCAAGCAGTGTCGAAGGCTGCCAGAAATCCCCGAGCACAACCAGTGCCCATTGGCCAGAAGGGCTGTAAGCAGAGAACATGATGTCAGCGTGAACACACACAAGCTGAGCCTGACTCTGGGCAGAAGCCACAATGTCAAGCGACTCTGACGACTCTCAAATGCTCTCACTGCTACCACACACCTCAAGCAGACTGTCTCCCACCAGTGCGACCAGTAGCTGATGTCCGTGCTTCTCCCTGATCAAGGCGGCGTTCTCTGAGGCGTACATGCTGGTGAAGTCAAACATGGCTACATCCGGCTGCCCGTAGTGGTTGATGGCGTAGTCCAGGGACGGCAGCTGGTAGTTTGTGCCGAAGTCAGCTGCCTCACGGGCGTAGGAGAGCAATGCTTCCTGGTTTACGTTGTCAGGGCTCAGCAGTCGCTCTGTTTCAATGTAGTCCTGTATTAAGACAAGATCACTGTCTATCACTGACATAAAATAAATGATTTAAATCTGCACTGATGAATATTTTTATATAAACAAAAGATCAAATGCTGTGTAACATTAAAGGGGTGACCCGTAGTGACAAACCCACATAGAATTATTACCTGACTCCGCCGTTTCCTACTGAGGGATTCTCTACTAAGCTTTTAGCCTCTTTTAGCTAATTAATCTGGTTTTATATCCCACAAACTCTGATTTTATCAACCTTGTTTTCAGCAGCAGGCTGGCCGTTTTGAGTTAAAAGGCAGACAAATGGCAGACAGACAATTTAGCGACTAGCTTGTGGGAGTAGCATTCAGATGCTAAAGGGACAGATATTTTCTCCTGTGTCGCAAACCAGTGTTTTGCTAGCACGTTACATGATTTGGTCTTGTCCAAAGATACAAGAAAAAACTAAAAGCTGAATTTGGACTTACTGCTACTCAGGTAAAAAATGTGGAGACTCTGCTACCTCAAAATCTAATCAGACCATTTCAAGGCACATTTACAAAAATAAATATGCTTTCAGTTCCCGTCTTAATGCCTGGTTGGTTGTTTTCTTTAAGATTTCTCTATAAAAGCATCCAACAGCAAATAAGCCTGGCTTTGGGCATTTGACCTCCGCAGTTGGTTTTCTTTCATTTCAGGGAACTTGGGTAATATATTATTATTTAACTCAATTCTCCGCAGCTGATCATGTCGACCAAGTGAGCTGCATCATTATACCATGTTTTGATGAAAACATTTCCTGAGAATCAGCATGACGGGTTGGACAAAGGAACAAGATTGGGACTGATTCAGAAGCAAGATTCATGTTGGTCAAGAAATGAAGGGAAAATAAATTTGTTTCTCTGCAAGAGGAACAGGATGACAAAACTTTGATGATAAAAGTTTGGCAGTTTGATGAATCATTGAGCTATTGAGCCATTATGAGTGATGAAGCTGACACACAGCAGACGCAGTGAGATATCACTCTGCACTAATGGGTAATGTAAGATGAGATGGAGACCACTGAGGGCACAGCGAGGCAGGGTTTCAACACCTGTGTGTGTGAGTGTGGGCTTGTTCTACAGCACTTTATTTGTGGGGTCCAAAAACCGGCAGCCCACTATACTTTTGGGGACCAAAATGCTGAACTCCACAAGTTTAAAAGGCTGTTTGAGGGTTAATACTTGTTTTTAGGTTTAGAATTAGGTTTGGATTCGGCAATTGGTTGTGATGGTTAACATTAGGGGCTAGGGAATTCATTATGTCACTGACAGATCCCCACAAAGATAGGCACAAGGCTCATCCCAACATGATCCAGCCTGCACCCGATGCCATAATATCCTCATTTATACCATATGCCTAATCTCTGTTCAGGACAGTGACCCTCGCTGAGAGCAAACCTCTGACTCATAATGTCTTTATGTCTGTGTGTGTGTCTAGGCGACATAGAAGAAAGGTGAGAGAGAGAATCTAATTAGGGCCCATTTCATTATCATCCCCTATGGAGGTCCATCACTCACTGACAAAGCTAGATGCTCACCGCCTGGAGAATACACACATTCCTGCCTACCCAAAAAACACTGACGCTGCTGTGCCAGCTGGTTTTAAATATTGCAACCTGTGTGTGTCTGTGTGTTGTATGTTTCATTGTTAGAACTATGAGAAAAAAATATTAGTTAAAAAGTACAACAATTTTCATCAACAAATAAAAACTAAACAATAAAGTGAAAGACAGCCAAATGGGCAAATTGACAATTTACAGTTTAAATACAAAGTAAAGTCTTGGCATGAATGGATTTGTGATTTCATACTATACAGTGTTTGCTCCTGATTAACAAAACAGTCTCCTCCACCTCCTAAATAAACCTCTTGTTCGGATGTTGGGTTCACTGCTTGACCTGTTGTACGAATAAGCTTCATGCTGTGATGCCAACTTAGCGAATTTTAGGCACCTCTAGTGACTCTGTGAGGCCGAGTCTGTATAAAAACATGGCGACCAAGATACCTCGCCATTGCATCTCTCTCCTCTGCTCTCTGTCTATGGATGTATAAATTTGACTTTGACAAATCCTACTCATACTGCCTAGTGGAAGAGAGCCACAGCCTTTCCAGTCGACCAATCAGCAGCCAGACAGTGAATAAGACATGAATGTGAATGACCAACAAAAGAAGTGAGCTTACCAGACCTCTGCAGCTCGCTCCTCCTCTCTACCTGATGCTATATTTCCCACTACTAGTATAACACACCACAATCTCTGACCGAACTGTTGGCAGTCAGGATCTATTATGATATTTTTGGTTTTTTAACTGTTCATTGGGAGTCCAACAATGTTACATGAAGGCAATGCTAAAACACCTGAAACCAGAGTAACTGTACACAACAAAGATGGTGTTAGCTGTAACCTCAGAAAGAAGACATACAAATAGAAAATGCAAAAGTGAGACCAAAACAAACAATAAATCAAATGACTAAAACTCATGTACATTTTTGTCTAAAACTAAAACTGCATCAAAATCCAGTGTCAAAATGGATACTGCTGTGTATACACGTGTGCGTGCATGTGTAAACTCACATTTATGATGACCCCCTTGTCCAGGAGACTCTGCTTCTTCGCCGTCATGACAAAGTAGTGTGTGTTGTCTTTGTAGTAAACTATGTTCTCCAAGTCAATTCCTGAAAACACGAGATTTACTTTACAAAGGGTACATATGGTGTTGAAAGAAGGAGCTATTAGAGTGGGAGAAGCAAACAGACAGCTGCATCGTATACAACTCAAACAAGAGTGGGGGGTTTTAAGGGAGGAGGAAAGGAGGCTTTATGGTATGGGCTGCTGGTGCCACATTTCTTTCCAGCTCACCTGTCTCCTCCCTGAGTTCTAGAAAGAACTTCTGGTTAAAGATGAAGGCCACACCACTGATCTCCTCCACTTTGGCCTCTGCTGTGGTGTTCCTGTTGACAAAGTTAGCTGTGATGGCGATAGCCAACTTCCCTCGAAACTCTTTGCGACCGAAACCTGCCGAGAGGGGAAGCAAAACCTTAGCAATTAACTATGCAGAGGGGAAATCTATGGTTAATGCCACATACAGTACTATGCAGAAGTCTTAGGAAGGTATGGGTAAATGCTGTCAAGTAAGAAAGCTTTCTAAAAAAATAGACCTGTTAATAGATTTTACTTATCAATTAACAAAATGCAAAGTGAGTAAACAGTAGAAAATCAAATCAATATTTGCAGGATAGTAAAAGTCACAGTGACTACGATCCCAAACATACAGCAAAACTCACTGAGAACTATATTCAACATGAAGAAGAACAAGGAGTCCTGGAAGTGATGGTGTGGCCCCCACAGAGCCCTGACCTCAACATCATTGAGTCTGTCTGGGATTACATGAAGAGAGAGAAGCAACTGAGGCTGCCTCAATCCACAGAAGGACTGTGGATAGTTCTCCAAGATCTTTGGGTCAACCTACCTGCCAAGCTCCCTCAAAAACTATGTCCAGGTGTACCTAGAAGAATTTATACTGTTTTGAAGGCAAAGGGGATCACGCCAAATATTGATTGGATTTAGATTTTTCTTCTGTTCACTCAGTTTGCATTTTGTTAATTGTTAAATATAATTAACATGTCTATTTTTGACAGCATTCTTACTTTACAGCACGTTTCTACATCTGCCTGAAACCTTTACACAGTACTGCATATATCTCACATATACCACACACACACATCCACATAATATTAACTACACCCAGATAGAAAGCTAGTCGAACAGTTCATAAGAACACACACACACACACACAATTAAGCTTCCAGTTAAAGTATGTCAACAGGAAATGCTTTACCCAGTGAGTGAAAGCAGCTTTGCGACACCTCACCTCTTTTCCAACAAAAAAAACAAACAAACAGGGCTTGGACTGCAGCATATATGTATCCAACAAATGTGGGTCAGGAACAAACCTTGTCTTAGAGGACAAATCTTTTTACCATAAACCCGCCACAGCTTACCCCACAGCACAACTCCAGTTTGTAAGTTTTGCGTTCTTTCTCACCGTCTAATGTGTTTTTGCGTCCATCGGCTCCAATCACAACATCGAAATCAAAGTCCGAGACAGGATGGCTGGAGGGCCGGACCTCTGCTTGCCAACCACGACCTGAGGAAGAACAAAATAACCAGATGGACCCACTTCAATTTGATTATTTTTATACAATCAGACATGTACTCTAAGAGAGTGTGATTGTAGACCTAAAGGAAAGGCAGCTGACAGGGAGTTCATACATCATGTTGAAGTGCTGATTTGATTAGGTTTGAGGTTTATGTGGTTATTTCTCAACTGTCACACAGCAGCCACAGTATGTTGCTCAGTCCTCCCTGGAGTGTTAAAGTGAGAACTGTGAACGTCCCTGGATCACACCAGATCCAGGGGCGTTCACAGATCTCAGTTTGGCCCTGGTCTCTGCCTCCTCACTCATCCATATTTAAAGTGCCAACTTCACAGTCTCCATACGCCATATTTAGGACACTTGGCATATTTTGGGACCCTTAAAAAAGCCAACTCAAAGTAGAACAAAGTAAAATGAAACTGTCAGACTATCAATAGACCTGCTGCCACTGCAAATGGTCTTCTCTAGGAAACTTTCTGATCACTATAACATATGTATTTTGTGAGCAGGGAGTTTTCCATATATAGCTGAGATATGTAGGAGTGACCCTCTGTGTGGCACCGCCACTTATGACCCTTTAAAGCACAGATAAGAGCACACACACGCAGACCTACTCTCGTCAGTCTGCTCCGCTGGCGGCTCCACAAGTTTGACAAACTCCACTTTGACATGAATCTCCACTCCCAGTATCAGACTCACTTTCAGCAGCATCAGCTGGAGCTGGCGGATACCTGTGGTGGATTCACACAAACACAGACACACACAAACGTGTAGGATAATAATTAAAAAGAATTTTTAAAAAAAGCACACAAAAGAAAGGCTAGAGCTTCCCGTACAGGTATAATCACTATATACTGGCCCAGACCAGATAAGCAAACGTTGAAGCTGATGTTGCTCCAAGACCATAAGTATTTAAACTGGATGTATTCTGGTCCTGGGCAGTAAGGAAGTACCAATCCAATACCAATTATTGTATCTGCCCATCTCCTCCCATTCCTCTTTCCCCCCCCCCAAAATTTAAAATCTGTGTACCTCACTGCAAAGAACTCACTGAAATTTTTTTTATGTAAGGTAACAAGCGGCTGCTAAGACTGAGTTGGGTCCCCTCCAAAGAAACTGTTTATAAAATCTACTTAAGATCACTATCACTATAAATACCAATCCAGTGTAGAAGTAATCAATGCATCCCTACTGCACTATACACTATAAAATATCATAGATTATTCTGGCAGTATAATGATGAACCATTACACTCTGTGTTTTAAGTAAAGAGTTAATACAGTTTATTTATACTGCAGTATATGTGGTATTTACAGGCGCCTTCTCAGCAGCAGTTATGGGAGGAAGACATGGTTGCACTTATAGATGAAAACAAGTTAGGGTTTTGAGATGTACACTCAGAAGAGCTTATCTTTAAGAGGAGATATTAATACATGACACTGTTACTAAAGCTGGAGAGGAAGACGGGCCAGTGGAAACATCCCAGTGGAGATAAAGACTGAAGAAGCAAACTGCAGCAAAATAGGCTGCTGGAAAATCTCCTCTCACGCATTAGAGTCTACAGGTTATTTTGCATGCTAAAACAGAGAGTGAGAGAGAACTGCAAAATTGTAATATAGGGTGTTCCCAATCTTTTTTGGCAAAAATATCTGCACACACACGAAAATTCAATCACGATTAATCGTAGGATTTTCTTGCAATTAATCACATGCTGCTATATACACAAAAGTGCAATAACATGTAGTTTGCAAACACTTTAAACAAACAAGTGCTTTTTACCAGCAGTATTCCCTTTACACAGTAACAATAAAATATTTCTTGTAAATCTCAACTTAAACATTAATGTAATCAAATCAGATATTAAACCAAAGCTATTTACCACATTTCAAATAGTTATCAGGACATCAACAGGAGGGAATTCATATGGCAGGGCATCCCTGCAAAACTAGATGAAGGCCTATCAGGTAAAGTTATGTAGTCTGTAATTTTAACTCAAGTTAAATAGGCTACAGCAGAAGCCGTTACCATGGTTACCCTCAATCGTGCTCCTGCCGTTTTCTCACGGAGCGCTGTCTTCTTCTCCCACACACTGCAGCCAAGTAGTCTGCTGAAGCCTCCCTCCACTGCTTGTTTGGGTGGGTGATTTGCAGGCTGATCCACATCAACATTTATTTATTTATTTATTGTAACATAAGTAACATGATCCTGTCGGCGTGTCAAGTGACTTTAAAAAGGAGTCCTGACTCCAAAGTTGATTTGACATAAACAACAACACTTTCTCTTCCTTCCCAGAGCACTATAAGGAAAAAACTAATTATAGTGTGATAGAAAGAGGAAGGAGTGAAAAGCTTAGCTTCAAGCAACTTCCCCACTTTGCTTTCTCACTTCATGATCAACCTTTTGAAAAGGCGCCAAAGTGAGAGGAGACACAGATCAACACTCACTGATGTGGTCGATGGCGCCGGCACAGAACTTTCCATAGAACTTCTTGGCTCCAAGGCCCCTGAGGTCATGGATGGTGAAGGGCCAGAGGTGGAGAACGTTGTTCCTAGAGAAGGTGTCTCTCTTCTCGATTACCACCACTTTACAGCCCAACAGGGCCAGTTCAATGGCTGTCCGCAGACCACAAGGACCCCCGCCAATCACCAGACACTGAGTAAAAGAGACATGGTGGTAGGGATGCTTAAAGAGGTTTTGAGCATTAGTATTCTAGTCCTCTTTCCATCCCTGCTTTCCTACACAGTAATTCTAACTGGGCTTTGAGTATGTAGTGTGTTCAAGAAAAATGACAAAAAGAAGTACTTCAAAGATGTAAGATTCCCAAATGCAACACACAGAGGAAATGAAGGAGCTACTTTTCAGCTCTAATGCAAAATTATTATTAATAATATTTTTAAAGAGTGGACAGCTAAGAGAAGATCTCAGAAAACAAAGAAGCAAAGTATTAAAACTAAGTTTGTTTCTAACTTGTTGGTAGTTGTTCTCCAAAGATGCAGTTTGATTGATATTAGTCTAGTAATGTTTCCTGTTAATAACAACAGTAAAGAGTATGATTTTAGAGAATGTATACTTTTAGTATTATAATATGGTGTGGAATTGAGTGACCGCTTACAAAGGGTGTACAGTAGCTGTATTTACAGCAACTGGCACTGATGTTTTATCTGGTTTTGGACTGAAACTAAATATAAAGAGAGAAAAGCAGCAGACATCATCATCATGTGGAAAAATGAACAAGAGGGGAAAAAAGCATTATGTGGAAAGTCTCAACGGTCCTGTGTGATTACAGTCAACGTCTCATTTCCAGGTCAGCATGTTTGCATGGTCTGCCATTTCTCAGTTATAGAGAAAAATTAACTGACAAAACAATTATCACAGCCATCTGGGAAGGGTTGATTTAATCACTTTTGGGACTAGGACTTGTGGCATCTTCCATGTAACAGAGTGTTACAGAAGTTTTGATTCTAGATACAGAGTTCCAGAAAACAGAGCGCCCACCCAGCTACAGGGCCACCATCTTTCTCCAAAAAGTGGTTTCTCCCGGAATAATGCCTGGGATAACAATTTAGCTGTTATTTTTGGCCAAGCCTCAGCCCAACCCATCTCTGTTAATCTCCCCTCTGCGGTTCTCTGGCCTCTTTCCCCTCTGGACATCTTATCTTTGCCTTCAGATATGAAGCCATTCCAACACTATGCTAAATGTGCTGCTTATAATACTGAGACATACATGGTCAGACAATTCGACAGACCAGCACATCACATAAAATATGAGATACCCATCTGTCACATGAAATACATATCTGAACTCCCATACTGTCTTTAGGCTTCTGTGTAAGCCATGTACTACAATTTGACTTACATACAGTGTCCCTATAAATGGCTTATATTACTTGTTCCAGAAATTTGCTGACTGAATTTCCTCAAGTTATATGCACTAAATCCAGTTAATACAGCCTCACAAAGTTAGGATTACTTACTGGTCTAAGTAATTACAGAAACAATCCACTTACATATTATATTTGCAATAGACAATTGCAAACTGGCAAAGGTCCTAATTGGGTATTTGAAAAAAAAAACAAACACTAATTCCATAAGCTTGCATAAGGTTAAAGATGCCTTTTAAATATGGCCTGACCTAACATTATTACGGCACTACTCAACAGAACACAGAAAAGAGGAAGAATGCAAAAACAAACGATGATGTCAAAAGTCAGTCTACATACTGTTGTAAATAAGTGGGTCACCTTAAAAACCTTCATCACAACAAACACCTCTTTCTAATTGAACTTTCATTGGATCTAGCTCTGACAGACGGCTTATGCGCTTTTATTTTGTTGGCTGCACACTAAACGGCAGTGATGAGACACGAGTCAATGGTTAGATTAAGACTTTTGAATAAGCTGTGTGAACTTACTGTTCTCTGCCGACCGAGCTAACTAGCTAACAACTAGCTCAGGGAGCGTTTTCTCCTTTCAATAACTCTTCATTGAATAAAATGAGAACACATAGAGGGGGAGTGGGGGTTTAAAACACAGTACAGAGAAAACAGAAAGAAGCTCGGAAAGTCATTGTGACTGCATGTTAGCAGTTAGCTCCCCAGCTAGTTTACAAACTAGCTCTACAGTATGTGACCATGCCTCTACAACCACATGTTATCTGAAGAATTTCACTGTGCCACTTTCTTGTATGATCACGCCTTTACAGTTTGGATGAAGCAGCACACCTCCTACACTATCAAAACAACGCCTTTCACCATGCTGTGCTGTTGTGTGGAAAACCATTCACGCTGTGCCAGCACAGCTTAAATAGTTGCGGTTACTCATGGCCATAGATTGTTGGCTCAGACGGGCATGAATACCCTAACATTATTAGAATACAGCTCGAGACTGCTAAGAAGTGATACCAAACTAGTTTCACATTGTGTATTAATACACTCAAACTGCAGAACAGGTTCAGTTCAGTTCAGTCTTTATTATCCAACTCAGGGACAATAAAGGTCTCTCTTACCCTGGTGCCCTGACAGGCTTTATTCTGGTTGTAGACCTTGTGCTGCGCCCTTTTGTCCAGTTTGGTCCACAGGGCCTTGACCTTCCAGGTGCTGACTGCAGCCTTCAGTGAGCGGTAGAAGTTGCTGTAGTCCAGAGGATCCAGCTCCAGTTGCCTGCAGAGGATGCTGAAGGCCTGCAGAGTCCCTTTACAGGTAGATGCCTGGACAAAGTTCTCAAAGAGCACGCTGGCCTGCGCAGTACGCTCATCCTCTGTCTCACCCATCTGCTCTTGGAGTAAAAACTGTCCAATCTCCTCCCAACACTCTGTCTTCTTCCTTTCCTGCTTCTTTTTCCCTGTTCTGTCCTTCCACGCTGTCAACTCCTATGATGTGCTGTGTGCCGACATGCTTAGCTAGTTCTGAAAAACAAAGAAAAAAATATTTTTTGGACACATGAGATTGAAAATGAAATCAATCAAAATCCAGATGATCAGTTCTACATCCTGTGAATTGGTGATAACTAATGACTAATTCATGCTCCTGAAAGTTTCATCACTTTCATTATTATTATTATTATTATTATAATAAAACAGCAGTTTTTGCTGTTGTAATAATAATCATAATAATATCATTATTAGTACCATTTGGGAATCGATGGATAAGAAAATAATTCAGTAACACTTTCTACGAAGATCATCGCTATAATGACTTATGCATATATTTATAACATGATATAACGCGTCCATAAGACATTATATATCCAGAATTTACACAGAAAAAAAAAAATGCATCAAGATGGATCACTGCCCTCTTAATTGTAATGAAACGAATCGTGAGGTGCCAAGAGATTCTCATTCCTACTGCCCAAACAGTATTTCCATTTAATAACTTTAAAATGTCTTTTAATAGGCTACGTTTTGTAAAATGGTTGTCTTTAATTGTCCACTGCATCCGCCATTCATCTGTGACAACATCTAAGCCTCTTCTTACATGATGTTGGTCGGCAACAGGGCTTCTCTTGAGCGATCTCTCACCACCCTGACAATGAGTGTCCTTGATGTAATTATGTTTGTGTTTTTGTGCCAAACTGCAAAATGTTCAAAATTCATACAGATTGTTCATAAAGTGAAGAAACATAAATAAAAGTTGTTTTCTTGTGCAAAATGTGTGTCACTTTACTTAAAGCAAACAATTACGTGTTATAAGGTCTTATAATTAGTTCATATGGTATTATGTCCACCTGTAATATATTATACAGGGATAGATATTTTAACACACAACAGCAAACAAAGACATGCTATATAACTTTAAACATTACTATAAGCTATTATTTCATTATATCACCAATTGTAAATGGTGACTAAAGTGTATTCATAACGAGGCAGAGTTGGTGGTTATAATGTGTTATGGAACATGGTCGGAGATTCTTGCAGCACATTGACATAAACTGGTATTACTATTAGTTATAAAACATTAAATCAAAAGGTCATAATACATTATGAACTTTGCTATAGCGCCTAATGCATGTTTTTAAGTGATTATAACAACTGTTAGAATGTCTTATGGATGCATTATATCGTGTTATAAATATTTGCATAAGTCATTATAGTGATGACCTTCAGAGAAAGTGTTACCAATAATTCTAAAAGAAAAAAAACACATGTATTAATACATACATAAATATTTTTGAAATATAAATAATAATAATAATAATAATAATAATCCTTATTTGTAGAGCACTTTTCAAAAACAAGTTACAAAGTGCTTTAACAAGTGTAAAGAATAATACAAAAAAAACAAGATAAGAGCTTTAAAAAATTAGACTAAAGACTAAAATACATATTAATATAAAATTAGTAAAATACAATAAAATAAAATGGATAAAATAAAGTCAAATAAGATCAGGAAAGGCTCTCCTATAGAAGTATGTTTTAAGAAGGGACTTAAAAGAGTTCACTGACTCAGCCGACCTGATTTCCTCGGGCAGGCTGTTCCAGAGCCTCGGGGCCCTGACAGCAAACGCTCTGTCCCCTTTAGTTTTCAGTCGAGACTCTGGAACAGACAACAGACCTCTGCCCGAGGATCTCAAGGTACGTGCTGGTGCGTATGGGACTAAAAGGTCAGAAATATAACAAGGCGAGAGGCCATGAAGAGCTTTAAAAGTGATCAATGTGGTGGTCAATTCTAAAACATACTGGGAGCCAGTGTAATGAAGCTAAAATAGGAGTAATGTGGTCATATTTCTTTGTTCTGGTTAAAAGCCTGGCAGCTGAGTTCTGGACAGTCTGGAGTCGATCAGTAGATTTTTGGGTTAAACAAGTGAAAAGGCTGTTGCAATAATCCAGGCGTGATGAGATGAAGGCGTGTAAAATGGTCTCGTTGCCCTTAAAAGTTAACATAGATCGAATTTTAGCTATATTTCTAAGTTGATAAAAACATGATTGAACAAGCTTTGTGGTGTGCTGCTCGAAATTTAAATTACTATCAAACCAAACACCAAGGTTCTTTGCCACAGGCTTAATGTGATTTACTAGGGAACCAGCAGATGGCAGTATTTGATTTGCCATCTGCTGGGACCCGATGACCAGGATTTCTGTTTTGTCTGAGTTCAGCTGGAGGAAATTATTTGACTGATTTTTTAACTTCACAAAGGCAGTTGTTAAGTGAACTCAGCATTCCAGGGTCTGTGGATCTGACGGGCAAGTATATTTGTGTGTCATCAGCATAAATATGAAAAGAAATGCTATGTTTATGGATAATATGTCCAAGGGGAAGCAGATAAAATATATGAACATTTTCATTATAATCCATTTGGAGAACATTTTCAATTTTTTTAAAATCGCATATGACAACTGTAACTGTGCGAATCATTAGAAGTTCTTCAAAAAAACAAAGATTTGGAGAAATATTAAGTTTAGTCATTCAAGTTTAACTTGTGCATCAGTTTTAATCACCTTCACAATGTTCATCACCCTCTGAAAACATTACATACCGAGTGAGGTGCAAAACTTTAAAAGCTTATAAAGGAGAGGTCACATTCCAAATGTTAGGAATGTCTGCAGCTCACACTGAAAATAAACTGCAGGTCAATGCGTTGCCTCATTTAGTCAGAGTGTAATGTCTGGCATTTTGTACGAGATGTCCGGGCAAACACACAGCTTTGACCACATATCCCTGTACAGGACTCCACCTCGAGCCAGCAACAACAAATACAGTCATTAATTAAGCTGTACTTTTTTTTTGTCTAAAACAAAAAAGATATTTCCCTCCTCCAGCTCCACTGAATGCCTGATAGGATTATGACCAAGAGTGCGCTTGGAGGGTTTCAGCTGAGCAGTCACGGGAGAAGCTCAAACACTGCGGCGGCAGGAAAACAGACAAAACAGTGACAGAATCACATCACACGCAAGTAACATCTTGGTGATACACAAGATGCAGAAAAAACAACCCTGAAATATAGCAGCAGATTAACACAGCAGACTGCATCCTTGGTCGCCCGTTTGCACAAACGCTTCCAGGCCCACAACGCATGAAGATGTTAAGGCACTATCAGGAGAACATCACTTCCACCTTCCATCACATGGAGTCCTGGGACATGAGACCTGATTCATGGTTCTTTTGGGGATCTCCTCTTACTTCAAAGAAATCTAATGAGGGATTTGAGGTTTAGAGCTGAAAAACCTTCACTTCTAGTACGTTTTCTAGCGACTTTTCAAAGACTTGCGTTCTGTACAGGCCACAGTTATCAGCTTTTTCTTCTCCCTTTCTCCCAAATCCACTGGTTTCTGGTGTTAAAGCCAAAATCAAATTGTATCCTTAAACTTGCAAAAACAGATTTTTTTGGCCACGGAAACAAGTTGTGAAACCAACACTGACCTTTTCAGTTGATACGGTGAACCGCAAATGTTTACACATCCAGCAGTTCCAGACAAGTTTTAGCTCTGTTTTTGTTTTCCACCAACTCCTGAGTGTAATATCAGGCTTTTAAGCTGCAAGATGGTCTTCTATGTTTACCAGCTCGTCACTTACTGTTTGGTGCTGAGCAGCTGGTGTACAGTGGGTTTTTAGAGCTTTTTCACTTAAAACTTGCTGCAGCTGAAAACGATGCTATGAGAGCGATGGTAGTGAACCACAAGGGTAAAGTTGTGGGCTGGACAGCTAAACAATGAGTTGAACCTCACTATGAAGCTCTCTAAAGCCGAGGGGAGCTGCATCACTGATGCCTTTCACATGTTGTGTTACTTTCGTCAGACGAAACTAAACACAGCCTTTTTTTCCCCCCTGAACAAAACGAGACAGCGACAATGTCCTTCAACGGCGACTGTGACTATATTAACATGCAATGTTGTTGACGAAAAATGACGAGACTAAAATTTAATTCATAAGATAAAAATGTTACTAAAATCTCTGTCAGTATGAGGAGACAAAATATTATAGGCCATATTTTCTCCCTATAAGCTTTCACTTAAATAGTGTTCATTCAGAGGTATTCTTCTTCCTGTGCTTTGAATGCTGGCCGACTGGGGTGACGCCTGGTGCGTGAGGAAAACATTACAGAGGAGGATGCAAACTCTGGTGATGAACACAACATGCTAGGGAGAAAGAGGTGCTCATATCAGCTCCCCTAAAAGCATGATTTGTGATATTTCATTCCCTCTGGCTGGATGAATATAACACATGAGCCTACTACTGCTGCTTGGTGCTCCCCACAGCACGCAACTTTCTTACTTCTTCCCTCTCATGGAGGCCACAAACACAGCCGCAGCTGTGAAACGTAATCGTAGCAAAATGGCTACATGTGATAGTAAAAATTATAATTATTATTATATTATTATTATAATTATTATTATAATAATAATAATAATAATAATAATAATAATAATAATAATAATAATAATAATAATAATAATAATAATATAAACATGCCTGATACTTTCACAGTCAGCCCCAGGCCTACATGCTTGCAGCTATTCAGCAGAAAGAATCACAGTTGTCCCCCTCCTCCCTGTCACGGGGAAGAAAAAAAAAACTGAGCTCCCCCAAAAGCTATGTATAGTTCGCACACTGATGTGGTTGTAAGATTTGTGGAAAAAAACACTACAAACTTGAAGCGGCATATCAACGCTAACCATCTGGGAATTGAGGTAAGTTAATGTCTCCTTTGCAGTAAAAAATGAGAACAAAGCTAACATTCGAGTCATATCTCTATTTGGGTTCGAGCAGATTGACCAAAATGCTAATCAAAATTATACGAATGAGTAGAAAAGACTAAAATGATGGTTAGAGGAAAACTAGACCAAAATACTTTTGACCAAAATACCTAGACTTTTAGTCAACTAAAACTTCCACCCATCTATTGTCAACCGTTTATCCTGCGAACAGAGTTTAACTAAAACTTGACTAAAAATAAATAAATAAA